AAGCTACTGTAAAATGACAAGGCGACAGAAACTTCAGCTCCCCTTCTATTATGTGGCATATGCTCCTGCTCCCTAGCTGCTAATGGACGTTAACTTTCACTGAAGCAGGATCAGGCCCTGTTCAAACTTTTGACACAACCTTCCTGATCCTGCCCCCTGCAAATTGCTCAGCATCATCACCTTCCACTGACTTTCTGGGCCTTGCATCAAAAAGTTGAGAGTACTCAGCATATTTCAACATAATGTAGTGGGGAGTGAGAGGGATTCTGTACAAAAAATAAAATTTGTTTATGAATAATAAAATAAGCCACAAATGAAAATATGTATAGAGCCAAATCTTGCAGCTCATTCTGAAAGTAAAGCTATTGATTTCACTAAGGAGTTTTGCTTTTGTTAAGGACAGAAGCACTTGCCCCTTATTATCTGGGCATTTGACTGCAACAACACAGCAAGTCCTTGCCTCTTTTCATTTTTATATAGGGGGACACACATAGAATATTGATCCCCACAGTTGTTCCCTGTCCTATTCATATGCCCCTCGCTGGACAGCCAGAATTTGAAGCAAAGAAAAATAAAACCTATGTGAAAATAGTAAGCATTCATGCATTTGTCTGATCAGATCTTTTATTGGCTACATGATATCCCATTTATTTTCGAGCAAGCAGCAACATGATATATCTAATGTCAATGTGTATCTCGTGTCTATTTAATGGAACTTATTAAATTTAACCTAAACATACTTAAATGCTACAGCAGATTTCTAGTCACAGAAAATAACCTAATATGGCGCACATAGCATATGAGTCAATAAATGTTTTATTTTATTCAGTCCAAATAACTACATGATTTGGCCAATAGAAGGTATCCATATACAAACTATGAAATTCAGTGTTAAAGGAGCTTATATAAACTATTTGCCTTTATGTTCAATGATAACCTTGTAGTTATTGAAGTGTTAATGTGTAAGCTGATAGTTACATGTGCCAGGAAGGATATTGCCCCTCATTTACAGTGCCAGATAATTTGCCAGGTCACGTATGTTTTCATCTTCAGAAGCCACAGCTGGACATCAGTGTTGAAGGAAAATAGAGATATTGGGTGTGCAAATCCTATGTTAGTGTGTCTCATTATGAGGCAGATTCAGAAATACTAGTACTTGAAGGTTTTTCAGCAGCAAACTCTGCCCCCTGCTGCTTGCTTGAAATGGGTGAACTATTGAGAATAAAATGTTGTTTACTTGGCATGTATATCTGATTGCAAATCCCTAAAACATCTGTGCAATTGAAACAACCCTATGACATTACTACTGCTTTTTGGGGTTACATTTTGCATGGAAAAATATTGCTTTTAAGATGTCTGCAAAAATGTACAGCTTATTTTCATGTTTCTTTTTCACATTTTAAGCTCTACCTTTTGGTTGTGATTGGTCACCTATGTTAAATGATTTTGTTTCTGGGATCTTTTTTGTCCGTAAAAGGATGGAAATTGTATGCTATCTGTGAAACAAACCCCCAAATCCCATTTGTTGCAATGCATATGCACACGCGCATACACACAGAGAAATTTGTGTGGATGTGTGCTTTTCTGGGCCATTATTTCATGAATATCTGCAGAAGGCCTTGTATCATGCTAGACTTTTTCAGTCAGGTCACTCTGCCTTTCATATTTATTTGCTGCACCTTTTAATTATATTACCCAAACCGGTTTCATTCATCAAATATAGTGCCTGTTTGTGTGTTAGGCTATGTCTAGACGGCAAGCTTTCGAAAGAGCCTCTTTCGAAAGAGAGCGTCTAGACTGCACGTTGAACTTTCGAAAAAGCGGCTTGCTTTTTCGAAAGAAAGCATCCAGTGAGTCTGGATGCTCTCTTTTGAAGAAGCCCTATTTACATTGAAGAACGCCTTCTTTCGAAAGAGGAACTTTCGAAAGAAGGCGTTCTTCCTCGTGAAATGAGGTTTACCGCCATCGAAAGAAAAGCCGCGTTCTTTCGAATTAATTTCGAAAGAACGCGGCTTGAGTCTGGACGCAGGGGAAGTTTTTTTGAAAAAAGGCTACTTTTTTCGAAAAAACCCCTGAGTCTGGACACAGCCTTAGAGACAGAGCAAGAGATTCCTATTTCAATTGTCTTAAATGTTTCAAACTTCTACCAAAAAGCCCCCAAATAAAAGATGTGTTGAAAATGAAGTTTAGACAGAGTATCAATTCAAACTTAACTGTAACATTGTTATGGTAGGGGGTCAGTTTTAAATGGTACTGGAAAAAAATGTGTATGTGTATGACTCACAACTGCATAGTACAAATATGCGCACATATTCCTGAGCATGAGTGTGCATTGGGCAGATTACATTTATACCAGCAATAGAGCGATTATCAGTCCTAGTCAGCTGTTCCCCATGTCAAATATGGGAATCTCTAAAACTTATACTATCTCTACAGGAATAATAAACTATAACGGTGTATCCACTGTACTCATCTGATGGTTTGTGGCCCTCACCAACACACCTTTCATACAAAGGCTGTCTTTCAATAGTCTTCCTGTTTTTGCAGGGGCTCATTCAAAATCTATTAATTTGGAAAAGGGCAACAGTAATTTAACAATCACTGTTCCTTAGCAAACATAAATAGCTGCTGGAATCTGAAGCAGTTCATAGGAACAGCATTAAATCACCTCTGCCATTTGTAGAAGATACCATGCCCTGATCTGTTTGTGTCTGACCAAAACTTGTAGTAGTTCTGTTTACTGTTTTTGCAAATATGGTGCTGATGAACGGTTTACTACTCTGCCTACCAAGATGCAGAAATGTGATGGACTATTAGGAATTAATGCAATACAAATTGTTGGAAGGAAATGAAGGCATTCATTGATTCTCACACCATCCAAGAAGACTCTCTACCATTGGAAGTAACTCATGAATGGCATGTAACTAATGAATACCTAGCCAGGAGCAAACATTACATGTAAGAACTATTGCAATGTTTTAATATTTTAAATCACTATATCTATTCCTTTCTCATGGCAACAGTGGGTCATGCAGTTCTGACAATCCAGAAAACCCTAAACTGGTGTTCATGCCAGGAATGAAAACTACTTGCTTTCCCCAGATTGCTGCAGTTCTAGAAATGGAAAATGGTATCTACCCTTCTTATATTCAAATCATAATCTGTAACATCAAGTTATGCTACTTCACTCATAGATTTAAAAGAGTAAAACACATGATCTGGCTGTGGATCACAGAATGTTGTCTGAGTCCATGTTCATAGGGCAGACTATTGGTCTGAACTTAATTGTCAATAAAAAAAATTCAGCCCTATTCCTTGTGTAGACAGCCTTGAAATAATGTAAAGGAATGAAAGGAACAAACAACTGGGTTGGTCTCCACTTCAGCAGCAGGGGGCAGGGTGTCTGTATTGGAAAGTGATAGAGATGCAGCCATGTTAGTCTGGCCTAGCTAAATTATATAAAATTGACAAATCAAATTTTTGAACAGAGTGGGAAGTTTAGTGTCTGTGAGGTAATGACATTAGGGGTGATAATTGGGGAAGGTATCTTTGTAATGGGTGAGATAATTAGCATCTTTGTTGAGACCAGTACATAAAGTGTCAAATTTAAGCATGAATGACAATTCTGAAGCTTCTCTTTGAAGTCTGGAGTAAAAATCTCTCTGAAGCAATATGCATTGTTTTAAAGTCATTGAGAGAATGGTATGTGACCCTTACCCTGAGCCCACATCTACAGCCAAAGCCCACACCTCCTTCTTCACTCCAACCCCCTGTCCCAGACCTCAGTCCACTCCCACAATCTGAATCCCTCATTTCTGGTCGCTCTTATTTTCTTATAAAACAAGGAATAGTCTTGCAGCACCTCAGAGACAAAGGGTACGTCTAGACTACATGCCTCTGTCGCCAGAGGCATGTAGATTAGGGTAGCAGACATAGTAAAATGAAGCGGCGATATAAATAATCGCCGCTTCATTTAAATTTACATGGCTGCCGTGCTGAGCCGACAAACAGCTGATCAGCTGTTTGTCAGCTCAG